ATGATGGAGAGTGGTCTAGCTATGACTTCAATAGATTCAATTCAATAGATTATCCAGAGGCAAGTGTTTCAACAAGAATGTCATACCGAGTAGTCGTAGAAACACTGACTGTACTCCAAGAGCAAATGAGCGCTGTTTAGCTGGCACACACCTGTAAAAAAAAAATTGCAGTTTAAGACTCAGTAAGCAAGTTTTAACTGTTCCATTTCTCTGCTTTATGCCTCAGTGAATATGTTTTTTCTTAATAAATTCTTTTAATCTGATAATTGCAGAGGCTTTTAGAAATTCAGTGTGCAGAACAAGCAACTAAAGAAGTTCAGGAGGTGTTTTCACAAAAACATAGAAGCAACTCCTCTAGGTCATCAAGGAATTTTAGATTGAACTAGTTTAACAAAACAGTATAAATAGCAAGCTAGCTTACCAGCAGCACCCTGATATACTGCTGAATATTTTTTCCACAGGTTCACCAAGGATTTAAGGACAGTCCTAGAATGCAATCCTGAGCTACTATTCCTAAAGAACCAGTACATGAATTGAGACTAGGCTTCAGCACAGCACAAGATGTTGTATTTCCCATAACTTTTATACAACCTTTTCCCCAGGCACATAGCCTAGAGAACAAACAGAGGGAACTGTTTGAGGGACAGTGTGCTAGTGAAGTCCTTTGGTCTGTCATCTCTTTAGAGATGGAGAGTGGAGAACCATGTGACAGCAAAGATGCAAGGGTTATTGATGTGTTAGAAACCACAGAAGCACCTGAGTATGTTCACACAGGAATAAGGGCTTCTCCCCCCAAAAAGGTGGCAGGATCAATAGCTCAGCTGAACTGCACACACTCCAATTCATGCAGCATGGGCAAACAGGAAGAGCTGGAAGCCATTGCACAGCAGGAAAACAACGACATAGTTGCCATTATGGAAATATGGTGGGATGATTCACACAACTGGAGTGTTGCAACAGATGGCTGTAAACTCTTCAGAAGGGAAAGGCAAGGAAGGGGCCACAAGGCAGACAGCATGGTGGGAGTCTGCAACAGACCAACCCATCAGATTCAAGAAGCAGATGAAATATTCTATAAGCAGCTGAGAGAAGTCTCATGATCACTAGCCCTTATTCTTGTAGAGGATTTCAACTTGCCAGATGCCTGCTGGAAATACAACACAGCAGAGAGGAAACAGTCTAGGAGATTCCTGGAGCATGTGGAAGATATCTTCCTGACACAACTGGTAAGTAAGCCAGCTAGGGAAGGTGCCCTGCTAGACTTGTTCATGAACAGAGAGGGACTTGTGGGTGATGTGATGGCTGGAGCTTGTCTTGGGCACAGCAATCATTAAACAAAAGAGTTTTTGATTCTTGGTAAAGTATGGACGGGGTCAGCAGAACTACTCTCCGGGACTTCTGGAGGACAGACTTTGGCCTGTTTAAGGCCTGGTTGACAGAGACCCTTTAGAGGCAGTCCTGAAGGGCAAAGGAGTCCAGGAAGGCTGGACATTCCTCAAGAAGGAAATCTTGAAGGTGCAGGAGCAGGCCAAACCCATGTGCAAAAAGACAAGCTGGTCAGGAAGATGACCAGCCTGGCTGAACAGACAGCTTTGGCTGGAACTCAGGGAAAAAAAGGAGAGTTTATGACCTTCAGAAGAAGGGGCAGGCAACTCAAGAGGACTACAAGGATGTCATGAGGGTATGCAGGGAAAAAATTAGAAGGGCTAAAGCCCAAGTAGAACTTAATCTGGCTACTGCTGTAAAAGACAACAAAAAATGTTTCTATAAATACATTATCAGCAAAAGGAGGGCTAAGGAGAAACGCCATCCTTTATTGGATGAAGGAGTGGCACAGTGACAAACGATGAGGAAAAGTCTGAGGTCCTTAATGCCTTCTTTGCCTCAGTTAAAGAACAGTAAGACCAGTTCTCCAGTAACTAGGCCCCTGTGCTGGAAGACAGGGAGCGGAATGAAGCTCCCATAACCAAGGGGAAATGGTTAGCAACCTGCTACACTACACCACTTAGACATAAACAAATCTATGGGCTGGATGGGATCTACTCAAGGGTACTAAGGGAGCTAGTGGAAGTGCTCACCAAGCCACTTTCCATCATTTATCAGCAGTCATGGCTAACTAGGGAGGTCTCAGTTGACTGGAGGTTAGAAAATGTGATGCTCATCAATAGGAAGGGCTGGAAGTAGGATTCAGGGTACTACAGGCCTGTCAGTCTGACCTCAGTGCTGTGGAAGGTTATGCAGCAGATCATCTTGAGTACCACCACATGGCATGTACAGGACAACCAGGGGATCAGGCCCAGTCAGCATGGATTTATGAATGGCACGTCCTTCCTTGACTAACCTGATCCACTATGACAAGGTGACCCACTTAGTGGATGAGGGGAAAGGCTGTGGATGTTGTCTACTTGGACTTCAGTAAAGCCTTTGACATGGTTTCCCACAGCATTCTCCTGCACAAACTGCCTGCTTATGGCTTAGATGAGTGTACTTTTCACTTGGTAAAAATGGATAGATGGCCAGGCCCAAGGAGTGGTGGTAAGTGGAGTTAAATCCACTTGGTGACTGGTCACAATTGGCATTTCCCAGGGCTCAGTACTGGGGCCAGTTCTGGTTAACATCTTTATCAGTGATCTGGACAAGGGGATTGAGTGCACCCTCAGTCAGTTTGCAGATGACACCAAGTTAAGCAGCAGTGTTGATCTGCTTGTGGGTAAGAAGGTTCTATAGAGGGATCTGGACAGGCTGTATCAACAGGCCAAGGCCAATTGTATGAGGTTCAGTAAGGCCAAGTGCCAGGTCCTGCACTTGGGTCACAACAACCCCATGCAACACAACAGGCTTGAGGAAGAGTGGCTGGAAAGCTGCCTGGCAGAAAAGGACCTAGGGGTACTGGTCAACAGTTAGCTGAACATGAGCCAGCAGTGTGCCCAGGTGGCCAAGAAGGCCAATGGCATCCTGGCCTGTAGCAGAAATAGTGCGGCCAGCAGGAGTAGGGAAGTGATCCTTCCCCTGTACTCGGCACTGGTGAGGCTGCACCTTGAATACTGTGTTCAGTTTTGGGTCCCTCACTACCAGAAAGACATTGACGTGCTGAAGCATATCCAAGGAAGATCAAGAAAGCTGATGAAGGGTTTAGATTAAAAGTCTTATAAGGAGCAGCTGGGAGAACTGTCATTGTTTAGTCTGGAGAGAAGGAGGTGAGGGGAGACCTTATACCTCTCTACTACCACCTGAAAGGACATTGTAGCGAGGTGGGTGTCAGTGTCTTCTCCCAAATAACAAGCTATAAGACAAGAGGAAAAGGCCTTAAGTTGTGCCAGAGGAGGTTTAGATTGGATATTAGGAAATATTTCTTCTCCAAAAAAATTTGACAAGCTGAACAGGCTGGCTAGGGAAGTGGTTGAGCCACCATCCCTCATATGATATTTAGAAGACCTGTAGATGTGGTACTTATGGACCTGGTTTAGAGGTGGACTTGGCAGTGCTAGGTTTACAGTTGGACTGGATGATCTTAAAGGTCTTGTCCAACCAAAAAGATCCTATGATTCTATTTCTTACAATTAATCAGTTCTGGCCTAAACTATGCAAATCTATATATAGAGTTAACAACTAGTAGAATTTACCTCCTTACCTCCTACTCATTTCTTTCAGATACTTCTCTAGCAACAAACGTTTTATCCTGACAGTGTCTTAGAGATACTGTAAAGATTATATACAACCTGACTTACTTAATTTATACAATTTAGTTTCAGGACTGTTTTATTTGATGATCTGTATCATTGAAGCACTGACAGTGCTAAAAAAACCCCAATATTTAAATATTCAGGAGTTATTCCCTCATTCTGGAGTATGTATGAGGATTAGCCATAGAAAAATATCCAAGATGAACAGTTATCAGCAGTCATTGTTAGGATATCCCTTACCCATAAAGGCAGGGAGGAAAAAGAATTAGTTTTGGATAGTGTGGGTGGTAATTTCCAGTACTAGAACACTGTCACAAACACATGGGTTCACACTTGAAGTTGCACAAAATAGGTCCACTGAAAAAATATTGGAATACACTGTAGTAACTTACCTCACATTTAGCTATTTAAATTAGTTTTTGCACATTTAGTCCTCTCTTCCATAAAAACTCTCACCATTTCAGTTGAAGTGTACAATGCTTCAAAATTCCAAATGTTATTGCTTAGAATTATCTAAATAAAACTATGTCAGTTTAGTTATTAAGATAATGCAACACTTCTGCCCTTACACTAATATGACAAGTTGTTAACCCCAGATTTACACCAGTCTTGAAGAGCAGGTTACTACAAAGCACTGTTGCAGTGTATCACTCCCCTCCCCAACCCTCGCCTAGAAAGTTGGAAAAAGAACATCTAATCACACCCTCCCAAAGTATTAGGTGTGTACTGTGTGTACGCCTATACATCATGAACATTTTCTCTCTAGAATTATTAGAGGTACAAGTCAGATATCAACAGGAGGTGAAACAGTTCTACTTTCAGAATGAGGAACATGTATTTAAAAAAATATGTGGCTTTATGCATGTGAGTTTCACCACTTTGAAAGACAGTCAAACTACTGTTTAGCAGCCACATATGTGCTCTCACGTTTTATATTAATAACTACCATACAACATCAATATCATATGAAAGGTAGTCTACAGTTCTTGACAGAGTACAGTTTTGCAAGTCAGAACTCTGAACCGAGACACAAATCAAAGGTTGAGATTATGAGACCTATTGCTATTTTGTTCTTTTCTTGGTACAATTCGAAATCCTTGCAGTACCAATACACAGGCTAGTTGAACGTTTTCTTCATCCAAGCACATAGATGTGCTTCTTCCTTTGACTAAAACAATCAGGAGTGCTCCCATAAAACAGAGACTTTGCTACAAGTAGGATTTTTTTTTTTTTTTTTCCCAATAGACTAAAACAGTGTCTACTAACTAAATGTAATTACAGAGATAGCAAACAGTGGTATGGCTGTTGTCTGTTTCAAGTACTGCCCGCTTACTATGTAAAGTACTAAAACAGGAAATCCTTTGCACATTGGTTTGAGTGACATTCCAAAGCAAAACAAGTTAGAGTATTTCATTGAACTGAGTTTTCACAAGAATGATACCTACTTCTTAGCTCAAAAAACATACCTGAGAATGGCCACAGTTGTTGGAGTAACAGCCATAAAAGTAAAAACAATAGCAAAAAAGAAGAAGGTCAAGAATGAAGGTAAAAATGTACATCGTGTTGGACATTTCCCAGGGATAGCTTCATAGAAAAGTCCTTCTGAATCATTTTCTCTTTTTGGTTTCCCAATACAGGAACAGTTGCGGTATGCCTACAAATAATTTATAAAACAAAATTTAGCTCTAAGAATGACACTAAGTGACACTAATATGGTAGATGTTCTTTGGGTCTGCATCACATTGAATACAAGAATAAACCCTGACTTTACAATACAGTCCATTTTCTGATGATCATATGACACTGTAAGCCTCATTTTTAAAACTGGTTCAGTAGAATTTGACTAATTCAGCTCACCTGAGCAAAAATTATTTTTGGTTTTGTGATCTAAAAACACAAGGATCACCTCTATTTTATGTTGAGCAAGTTTTTAGGTACAAGTATAAACAACTTTAAAACTAAAGATTTTAGAATTCAAGGAACAACCATATTTTAGCACATATACACCAAACAGAAATACCACAGAGTAAGCCTTGAAATGCTAGCCTTTGCACTTGAATCTTATTACAAACCAGTGCAGATAATGCCAGTTACTGTTTACAATTGAGAAAGGGCAAGCTGAAGTGTTCAAACTACGATTTTTTTTAATATCGATATACATAAAATTTTTGGCAAAATATAATTTTCAAATAAATCACTCTTTGAAAGTGTTAAACACCATGGAGAGTGTAAAGGGTTGGAGGAAGGGAGGAAACTTCCCATTTCTCTTTCACCATAAGAGACTGGTTTCATTTGCAAAGTGAAACTTCTGAACAAAGGGTAGCCAGAAGCTTTGGCTGCCTTACAGCAGATCTCTTAGATGGCTCTCAGAAGCAATTTTTACAATACTGAAATAAGCTGATGTTAACTGTTACCTAGTTTATTAACCAAAACTGCTAATTATTTCTGTACAATTTAAAAGTTAAATAACTTTAACTGTCTTGACTACTAAAAATTGTTTCTTGAACAGGGCTCATTCTTTAGATTCACATCTACTTCAGCAATTATTTTCTCAAGCCTTATTCTTCAAGCTTAGTTAATACATGTCCAGTTAAAACAGTAGCAGAACAAACTGGAAACCACAACAGTTCACATTCTTCAGAGATGTTGGCAAGTCCCAGATCACCTGGTTTGACACTCTTGACTATAAACAGGCTGGTTTTTACACTGCCCTGCGCTTGACAGGAAGAGAGGTGAGCTCTACTCTTAAGACTTAAGCATGAAAGAACAGAAGCAATGTTGAATTGCTTTTGTAAGCAGATGAACAAATAGAATAGTTTTATGCTCTTCAATTAAATCCACTCGTTTGGTTTTAAAGAAAAAAAAAGTGTTAAGTTTTTATCAGTAACTAGCAGTCTCCTACACTGTCTTATAGATAATACCTCCTCTCCTTTACCACTGCCCATTTCTAATATATAAAGTCTCCAGAGGTTCAGCTTGGTTCAGCTTGCCTACTTTTAGGACTTCCTACACTCCTCTCACATCCCTGCTCAAGAGTTTATTGTATTAGTAGAGACAAGCACTGAAAGTCTCTCAGTTCTGAGAAGGTTCAATAATAACCAGTCACTTTCATGGCTTACCATTCCTGCATCAGTGGCAACTGACATTCAAGGTTTGGAAACTCACAGAAGCAGGTTGCCATGCATACAATAAACATTACATTATGCTTAAAGATCGAGACAAGAATTGCAGTTTAATGTTGAGGCAGTAGCCAATTTCTGCTTTTCTAATTGTCACTTCTATTTAAAGTGCATTCAGGTTTAATGTATTTTCAGCCTTAGAAAGTTTAGTAGAAGTAACATTTTCAACATGACACTGTACAAGTGAGAAATATATTGTGACGGACCAATAAACCCACACAATGGAAGAAGTCCCAGAGGAAACAGGAAAAGGTGACCTACCCACAAAGGTCATGGAATAGTGCAGGCTGTGAGTGACCACAACTGTTGCAAAGAAACATCCTCTGACATCCATTATGTCAGCTGAGTGGATCAACTGGTGGTGTAAATGTTTCTTCCAGAGTTCATCAAGAGTGTGAAAGCCTCTCCAAGTTAACAAGACCAGCATGGGAAGAGTGTGGCTCAGCCCAAGGTATTAGAAAACCCCCCAAAAAACAGACAACTTACAGAATAATTCCAAAGACAGCAGTGAGCTTGAGCTGACTTCAACACACATACAGCTTCCCAACAACTGGGGAGGCGCAACATTGTGACAGTGAGCACGTTATAGACACCAGTAATAGGAACCATACTGGTATTGTGACTGAACTGTGTATTGTAATTTCTGTATTTTGCTAAGCATAACTTACATGTATACTGTGTTTTCAGTATATTTTGTATCACTCTGCTAAACCAAAATCCTGTGTAACATCAATTGTCATCAAATAAATTCTATATTAAACATTACACCCTCCATAAGTGGAATATCTAAAAACACCTAGTCAGAGTATTGGACTCTTGACACATACCAACATTCATCCTACTTAGACACATGTTTCCAATCCACACTATTTTTTCCGGTAGTAACTACCACTTAGATTCAGAAATACTGCTATTTCCTATCAAACTAAAGGAAGAATGTTTTTGATATAGAATGCATTTTGCATGAAATCAGAACAGACTATGTCAACTATCTTCATAGCATAAAGTACCTTTTTCACGTTGTTAAAATGATGTGATGAACATCCTGCAAAACAGGGAGAAAAGTACTGGACTTCGTCTCTGCCACAAACTGGGTAGTATATAGAACGCAAACATCTGCAGTTAGCATTGCATGGCGCTGTTAAGTTATATAACATGCCTGTTCTGAAAGGTAAAAGTTAATAGGTTTTTAATAAATTAATTTAAAACCAGCAGATATATAAATAAGTAATGCAGTATTTATAGGACAATAAGTCTCAAAATATTCAATTCAGGTGATTTATGCACCTAATTTTTTTTTTTTTTTTTTTTTTAAGCCATGTTCCTAGTATTTACAACTCTAGAGTAAATTCCCTCTTATTCTGTACCTAGTTCAAGGCCAGGTTGGATGAGGCTTCGAGCAACCTGGTCTAGTGGAAGGTGTCCCTGCTCATGGCAGGGGGGTTGGAACGAGGTGGTCTTTAAGGTCCCTTCCAGCCCTGATTGATTGATTCTATGATTGATTCTATGATTGATTCTATGATTGATTCTATGATTGATTCTATGATTGATTCTATGATTGATTCTATGATTGATTCTATGATTGATTCTATGATTGATTCTATGATTGATTCTATGATTGATTCTATGATTGATTCTATGATTGATTCTATGATTGATTCTATGATTGATTCTATGATTGATTCTATGATTGATTCTATGATTGATTCTATGATTGATTCTATGATTGATTCTATGATTGATTCTATGATTGATTCTATGATTGATTCTATGATTGATTCTATGATTGATTCTATGATTGATTCTATGATTGATTCTATGATTGATTCTATGATTGATTCTATGATTGATTCTATGATTGATTCTATGATTGATTCTATGATTGATTCTATGATTGATTCTATGATTGATTCTATGATTGATTCTATGATTGATTCTATGATTGATTCTATGATTGATTCTATGATTGATTCTATGATTGATTCTATGATTGATTCTATGATTGATTCTATGATTGATTCTATGATTGATTCTATGATTGATTCTATGATTGATTCTATGATTGATTCTATGATTGATTCTATGATTGATTCTATGATTGATTCTATGATTGATTCTATGATTGATTCTATGATTGATTCTATGATTGATTCTATGATTGATTCTATGATTGATTCTATGATTGATTCTATGATTGATTCTATGATTGATTCTATGATTGATTCTATGATTGATTCTATGATTGATTCTATGATTGATTCTATGATTGATTCTATGATTGATTCTATGATTGATTCTATGATTGATTCTATGATTGATTCTATGATTGATTCTATGATTGATTCTATGATTGATTCTATGATTGATTCTATGATTGATTCTATGATTGATTCTATGATTGATTCTATGATTGATTCTATGATTGATTCTATGATTGATTCTATGATTGATTCTAATTTTGGTGTTATTATTGCTTCTATAATTATTCCTATATTTTCCATTCACAAAATAGATTATGAAATCCTGTGTCCCGACCCAATTCTTACATCATCTTCTCTCCCACACACTTATACACTTGAATTTGTTCAATTTACAGTTTTAAGAAAGAAATTAAACATGATTAAAATCAGGATTTGTGTTCTTTATTCTACTGATCATATTTTAAAGTTTTTTTTCTTTTTTGGACTCAAGTCCAGTTGCATGCCTACTGCATTTTTACTACTTTTAACACTGCTATGCAGACAACTAAGATTATTCTAGCACCAAGACAACTGCATGTGTTAAATGCAGAGTGCCATGACATACAGAGTGCTATTACACCAAAAGGACCTTAAAGATTTTCTCTGGCTGCTTAGGGACTAACTAATGAAGAACAGAACTTAATTTAACTCTTGCTTACTATAACTACTCTCAATTTAGGCATTTACTTCCAGTACAGCCAATATTACGGTTGCATTTGAAGTAGTTCCACTATAGTATTAGTATGCAAAATCAGTTTGGGATGGGGGAAGACCTTCTTAAGACATAATTGGAGAGAATAAAAATACCCTTTGATTTTCTAATAGTAATGCATGTAATAGGTAAAGAAGCTTCACAGCTTAAGAGTTTAGTCATCTTAAACCAGGATACTGACCCTGCAAGTAGTTTAAATATTGTACTGCAAACTGAAAAGTCCAGATTCATTACCTAAAAGTCAGATTTCTTCAAGACAATTTAAGATGGTCACAAATACTAAGAGGAGAAGTAATTTATCTAGGAATTAAGCTGATTAATTACATAAAATTCAAACTGCACATGAAATATTAGGGATATAACTACCTATACACTTGGTTGTAGTACAGCTGAAGTCTACAAAGTTAATTAGTTTATTCTTCATACATACAGGAATCAAAGTTCATTTCTCCTAGCCTAATGCACTACAGTGCACCATAAGCAAATTCATTAATCACAGCTTTGTTCATACAGTGACTTGTTAGCCTACGAGTTATGTCAAGCCTAGAAGTATTAATCAATTCAACAGCAACATTTGTCCTGGTTACATGTGCAGACAATGTCTTTCTTCCCTGACCTGAAAAGAGGCACTGGACCTTTACTTATGCATGGTCAAAAAATATTAAAACAGAAGAAACAGTTCAGTGTATATAAGTCCTATGAAATAGAACTTCTTGTTTGAACATCACTTGTCTAAAGAAGCCTAGTATACAAGACCATTAAATGGTCCTTAAAAGCCTACAGGTTGGGTTTTTCTTCACAACAAAACAAGGAATCCCAGAGACTTGGAATGAACAGCACTACAGAGATAGTTACTGCATTTCTGTTCCTTCAAGTTTTCAAGGAAATACTGGGCAAAAGAATTCAGCAAAAACAATTATTTGAAGTGTTTCACAGAATCACAGAATGTCAGGGATTGGAAGGGACCTCGAAAGATCATCTAGTCCAATCCCCCTGCTGAAGCAGGAACCTAAACGAAATTACACAGGAAGGCGTCCAGGCGGGTCTTGAATGTCTCCAGAGAAGGAGACTCCACAACCTCCCTGGGCAGCCTGTTCCAGTGCTCTGTCACCCTCACTGTAAAGAAGTTTTTTCTCAAGTTTAAGCGGAACCTCCTGTGTTCCAGCTTACACCCATTGTTCCTTGTCCTATCGTTGGGCATCACTGAGAAGAGCCTGGCTCCAAGGACAACAGGAAGAGCTTCTTCTTTAAATACATAGTGTTTACTATGCAAAGTAAACCATATTAGTTCTGCTTATAGCTTAATTTAGTAAGAGTTACTACAAACAATATACTTTGTTCACTAACATGAAGTCAAAAGTGATCCTGTACTCATATGGTTCTGGTACTACACATACAAAAGCTTACCTTCCCACCTCCGCCACCTCCAGGCTATTTTTCAGTAGAAAGAGAACACTTGCCATGAAGGATTTCTTCAAAGTCTCCACAAAAATGAATCTGCATCAATTTCCAAGTCACCTCTCAGAGCACTCTCACAATTTATTTTTTCAGAATTATTTGTTCAACAGCATAAGCAGGAGTTAAACACGTGGTTACTCTTCCACATGCTTATAAATTTGTTAAAGCCACTACTATGTATTTTAGTTGTTTATTCCTTCATGGAAAGCAGTTTCAGAACTGGAACTACGTTAGTGCCACTAACTATTCTGATGCAGGTCATATGTCCAAACTATAGTCCAACATGTAACAGTGAATTAGATAAAGTTGAACATCTTTTTCTAATGGATACTGGGTGGAAAGAGTTATTTCAGGATTGGTTAACTCCAAATTGCTGTAGACAAGAGGTCTTCAGCAAGAGTTAAACTACATAACTGCCAAAGTTACACAAAACTATTAAATACAAGTTAACTGCATATAACTTAAGACAAAAATCAATTCAGTTGTACCTTTTGTCAGCTGCTTATTATCATAAGACCTATTACAGAAATATGGAGAGCTTCCCATATTATTTCCTGTACAACCTCTTCAGTATTCAATTGCTACATACAGCTTCTTTTGCCCAATATATAACTAAATTCTCCATCCTAGTTTTCACAGTTCTGAAGTTCTCACAGTAATCTTACAACTAGCATTTTTTCAGACACTGAAGCAATGCCATGTTTTAAGCATCAAATGTCAACACTAGTCTTTGAATACACTGTCAATTTATACAGCAAATTGTAAAGAGGGAATGAGAAAGAGTGGTACATAGGGCTTTAAGGACTTTTCTTTAAGTCACCAGTGTATGAAATTTGTTTTATTAGTTTTTTTAAGCCTTCTGGAAAAAAATTCAAATGAATGGTTAAGCTATCATGGCATTAAATTGCTGCTCTATTAGAGAACTGGTAGCCTGATTGCCTTCAGTCACTACTGCCTCCAAGCCCTCTGAATTTCTGTTCTGTTAACCTGGAGTTATTTTATTGTTTTCACATTTACTTAACTGAGAGATATGAAAAATATCTGATTAGCCTTTCATGTCAGTCTTGGCATTTTTGGGAAAATTTTGTAATATTTGTCAGTTATGTTTATATCGCTGATTACCTTAAAATACCTAGGAAAATTAGTAGCTTTCATGTTCTATGATATTTGCACACTTGGTTGCCCCCCTGAGCAATATGTGATTTTCCTGTATTCTTCTAATTGTTATATGTTCATTTTAAGTCAGTCAAAAAGACAAATATCAAGTGAAGAAACCACATAAGCCTAACTGCTTATCAGATGTTTATCATTTTTTCCCTAGAACTATTAACAATTTGCATGTGCATTAGAGGCTACAAAACCAATTCCCACCCCCAACACATCTGCACTTTCATGATGCACTTCATGCTATTGTGTCAGTAAAGTGCAAAGACTCTCTTCCCCACCCTATTTAGGTTCAAATGCCTTTTTATGCATTGGAGCATAATTTGTAGATTCTGCTTCTGAAGAAGATAGTGGCACCTTACCCTTTTGAGGGATTTTGGGAAAACAAAGAAGTATTGGTAAGTTATTCATACCACTCATGCTAAAGATTTTTTTCAAATGGCAGCTAGCAGTTCCTAGCTACCAGCCCACTAGAGTTATATTGCACAACAGCATCTGGCCCTTTGGCAGACTCTCAAACAGCTGGAGTTGCCTCTGGCTCTGTGAATTCATGACAGAGTAGCCAACCACTTAAGAGCACAGTTTTGGCACAGCTAGCTGCCATCCTCCTGCTTTTAAGCACTGCTCATGCTACAGAACTATGTACTATTTAAAACTATGAGAACTGAGGCATAATCTTATAGTGAATTCCTTAATAAGGCTTGACTGGACATTTTATACAACATAGTGCCTATACTGGTAATTTGATCACATACATTCAATATTGAAGTTCTAAAAGTGGACCTAGAAATCCACTCTCTAAAGATAGCAATCCTTGCAGATACTTATTTTTCACCTTGCTTTGTTTTTACTGTCACTTTTCTGACTTTTTTCCCCACTGCCATACTGGTTTCCAGAGTAACCTCTAGGAAGAATATTGATCCTAGAGTTTTTTTATTACAATTACTACAGATATCTAAAAATGAGTGATAGATTGCATTCTCATTAGGAATGAGAATTGCATTATTTAAAAGAATGAAAAATACATATTGTTTAGAGAAGTCATTCCTATATATCCTAGCCAAGAATATTTTGAAATATGTTTCAGTTAACCGTGTTACTCCACTCACTTTATTCTTCAACTGGCATCACTGAGCTATGCTCTCTTTGCATTAAATTTCTACCTCTATCAGTCATTTTACCAGAAAAAAATAAAGCCTCCTTTGTAAATGGAGACTAGATGTGCTAGAATCTGATGCTACAATAATGTCTTTATACTTCTAAGGAAAAATTTGCAATCATTTTAAGTTGCAGTGCACCTCAGTGCTTTCTCATTAAATTGTTGGACATAGCAGACTCCTTCCAAGAAAAAACTGCACAGATTGTCAAGAGTTGGTTAATAAAACAAGATACAAAAGGCACATTACTTCTTCAGAGATACTAAATTACCTGAAATCAATACCATGGCTACCACACCTAGAATGGTTACAAAAGCTGGGAAATTTTTTTGTCAAGCAGGTCCAGTCTGCTCAGAACATTTTGCAGGCAATGTATCATTATGTTTTGGGGCTGTTCAGCCTGGAAAAGAGAAGGCTTTGGGGAGACCTTATAGCAGCCTTCCAATACTTGAAGTGGGCCTACAAGAAAGCTGGGGAAGGACTTTTCATAAGGGCACTTAATGACAAAACAAGGGGAAATGGCTTTAAGTTGAAAGAGGGCAGGTTTAGATTAGATATTAGGAAGAAGTTCTTCACTGTGAGGGTGGTCAGACACTGGCCCAGGTTGCCCAAGGAAGTTGTGGATGCCCCCTCCCTGGAAGTGTTTAAGGCCAGGCTGGATGAGGCTCTGAGCAACCTGGTCTAGTGGAAGGTGTCCCTGCTAATGGCAGGGGGGTTGGAACTGGATGATCTGTAAGGTCCCTTCCAACCCAAACCATTCTATGATTCTGTGTTTTCTTAATCATCCATTATATAAAGATACCAAGGACAAGGTTTTACAGTTCCACAAAACATATCAGTTTCATACATCAAGCTAAAATGGGACACGTGTAAAGGTTTCGTATTCTGTGATGTAGCTTATATATTTTACATTAACACCAAACCCAAGAGTGCATTAAAATATATTTACCCATTGTATGTTTCAGAAACACCTGCGAAAGGTTCATTCCCACATTTAGCAAATAAAAACACTGTGTGTAATAGCAAGGCCACTGAACAAGTGCCTATTATGAATTTGATTATGCTTCTGCAATCCATTTTGCACTTGGAAACCAAGATGCCACTTATGATTTGGCCTAGTGCTGCTGCTGGAATTAATACAAGCCCTAGAGGAAAACAAGACATCATAGATTACACAAAAATGCAAGATAATTAGTGAAGCAATTTAGAGTCTATATTAAGAAAAAAAAAAAAAATCACAACAGTTACCTGTATCTTAAGATGTAGTCCACGTGATGTCATTTTCAAACCAGCCTACCAATCTGTTGGCATAAGTAATTTATTCCACCCTTATATTATCTTTAGCCTTTCCAGAAGTTCAACTTGACAGCATAATTTAGAGTTGTCAAAAACCCAAGTTCAACTCAGCAAAACTAGATTACTTAACATACTGGGCAGGAATCTCTGAACACCAGTAAGTCAATTTATGAAAACAGAAAATGCTCTTTCATTGCTTCAGTGGTTTGTTTTTGGTTGTTTGCCCCCCTCCCCCCCCATCACATATCCATGTTCTTTGTTATACATTTATGTTATGAAGTTTTTAATAAGAGAACATACTCACTAATATACAAGAGATAGCACAAGACACATAAGGCATCTGCAGAAAGATTTTAAAAGTCTAGATCAGTGGGTCAATTTTCATTGTCATAGTCCATAACGATTTAATGCTAGTCCATAACGATTTATCCTCTTTGCTCTATTAGGACTCTAGAGACATAACTGAGTATTCTTATATGGCTAATCTCAGTGTAACTTGCATTGACTTGAAATAGTTGTTTTTAAAGATAGTTCAGATACAGTGGCAAAACTGCACAGGCCACAGACAGCCACAGTCAAAGGCAGTTTAAATAGTTAACATGCTCACTGATAACACTTAGACTAGCTAGCTCAGATACAGCTACCTTTCAACGTTAGTGTAGGCATTTCTTTAAATCTGTACACTTGATTAGCTCTATCAATATTTTGAACTCAAATTAAAAAGAAATTCAAACAAGGTTTATACAGAAAAAAAGGAACATTCAGTTTTCCACTTCACTGCTAATTACTGTTTAACAGTTGAGCACATATTCCAATGCATTTCTATGTAAAACTTACATTGTTTTGAAACAATGATGTCTGAATAGTGATGGTACTATCTAGTATTATCCAGGGGAGTTAGTCATACAGAAAGTCTCTCCCAAACATATTTATCTTGGAAAAAGAGCACTTCAACTAACATATGCTTGTATTGCACCACTATACAGCTGAAGTAATTTAGGAAGACATGTTCCAGAAATATTAAGTCTGCCATATTGCAAGCATCTGTTGGCCTATCTGCCTTGATCTGGTTGTTCTTCAAAAGTACTTGTGTCAGAGTCAATCATGTGATCCTCTGATGTACAAGAGTACAGCTCTTCCATCAGATTTTTCTATTTGTTTCTCCAATACTCTGCTTTTCATAACCTTCCCCTGTTCAACCTACTACTGAGGAAAATCCAGTAGTGTTACCCTCCAAGAATAAGACTAGGATGAATTTCAACAGCACCCTAAATTCTCATTCTACTTTGAATATGAGTATCAAATCTTTTGAACTTACAGACTAGAAGTAGCTTTGCACCACTGATGAACTAAGTACCAGGGTTTTCATAGGGCAGGCAAGGATAACATAAAAATACTATTTCTATTGTGAAAACTGCATTTCATATAAGTATACTCACAAATATCTCAGACGAACACAAGATGCCTATACAGACTTCCACCTAAAATGTTAATGAGGTTGTCCAGCACAACATATTTAAGATTTAAAATTAAAAGCCACATTACCTCCAAGAGTTGCTGAAAAACTTGATGTCTTTCCAAACTGATTTTCTATAAACTTTGGTAGAAATGTTGCAAAGCCAGTGGCAACTAAAGCTTCTGAAGAACTGGCTATTATTAGACTCATAAGCACTGGATTCTTCAACAATATCTATGGCAGAGGGGGAATTAACATAACACTCAGGACATTATTTCATTGTAGTACCCTGTAAAAAGTCACTATATTTAAAGTAGCTACTCTCAAGAACTTTATTAATATGCTATTCTAGCTTTAACAATCTTAAGCATCAACAAAATGAATATGCATTAAATTATCAGTAGCACTGGAGACCACCCTTTCACAACACAATAAAGCAGCAATTACCTTTATAAACACTTATGTATTACCTGGAAAAAAAAAAAATCATTTCTCAGAAAATATCAGTTCCAGTAAATTCAAGATTTGCTTACCTGGAGAGCAACGGGAAAGTCTTTAAAACTTTTTCCAATATTCTTGGTCTCAACAAGCACTTCACTTCCGTCATTATGGGTTTCAGAGATTTTTTCAGCCTGGATTTTTGCTGTTCCTAGAAACAGGCATATTTATTGTCAATTAAAACACTCAATACCTGTGCTCTTAAAGTCAGAAAAAGCATCAAAATAAGTGTTTCCTTTCCTTGGGAAAAGGAGACACACATTTTAAGTCTTCTTCAATATTTTGTTGGTACAGATCCATAAAAAGATAAATAATGTCTTGCTGTGGAAAGAAGAATTTGACCAAAAGCATCATACTTCGATTGGAAAGCCTTGGCTGTAAGATAACATCAGGGATATCCTAAGAATTTCAGACTATCCTGAGGTCCATTCAATTTTTTTTTTATTATTATCTTTTTTTAATTAGTCCTCACATTCTCCCTAGTTACCTAACTTCATTGTTTCTTTTCCTCCATCACTTCTCTTTCCAGGTATGCATAGTAAGTTCCTTTAGATGGAGGAATCTCTTCCAGGAGACTTCTAGATAATATCTTCCTGAACAGAAGTTACATTAAAACTATTCTTTTTTGAAAATTGCTCTTTGATTCATGCTTTATTATGCCACCCAAAATGATAAGGCAACAGAGTCAAAGACAACAATGCACAGTCAATTGAATTTCCTTATGATACCTGTTGGGTAACCTATTCCTATTTAAAGCTACACCAGTAGCTTTAAATACACCTATGGGTGCTTCACTTCAAGCACTGTTCAAACTTTGACCATCAGTTTCCATGCTCCACCTGTTTTCAGTCCTACCATACATTATTATGTACACAAGATTCTCCACCTAGCCTATTCAGCTTGTTTCAAAGGCTGCATATTGGAAACAAGGTATTTATCACCAGGTTTTAGCCAAAAACAGTTAACCAAGAAACAGAATCAAAGAGGAATTAATCACTCAGTCCAGCAGTCTATAACCCACAACTGTAAGCAAATCTCTCTTCTAAAGTATCCCAGTATCATTAAGTATTTACCTGGTAGGTGTTTCGGAAAGCAGGAAAAAGGTATTATAAGAAGCCAAATTGAGAAAAAGCATGCAAGAAATGCTATCCACCATGCTCCAAGCCAGCGTGGGTCATCTTGATCCATCTTTGTACTAGAAAAATAATTTGGAAAAATCAGGTTTACCATTCATTAATTCAAATTTGCAATTTTAGATGTCAGCGAGCTGGATTTGGGTTTTTTTAAATACCAATTTAACAGAAAGCCTTTGAGTATTGTCATTTTCTTGTTTTCTCCATGTATTAAGTTTATTGTTTGCTTGTTTAAAGAAGTTGGTTGAAGTTGGTTTGGATAGTAGTACAATTTAGAACATTATTTTTTTAAGAGTGGACTATTACTCAACTAGTAGATTTTCTAGCAAGTTCTTCCCCAGGAGGTAAGTAGAAATATCCTACCCCTTATATTCCACTTCAGAGAAACTTTCTGCACGAGAAATCAGTATTTGCAATCTAACCCTAAATAAGCAACTAATAAAAAGACAAAGCATTTTTTGTTATTCAGCTTCAAAGTAGCCAATATATCAAAAAGCTAACACCAAGTATTTGCACTACAGAGCAACTTTCACGTACAACAGAGTGACTACTCACTGTGGGAAGTAACTCACTTGTTAGAAGCCCTTGTGAATGCAACTTGTTAGCAAGTTAAAGCTCTTGAAAATGCAGTATTTGCCAACCAAAAATACTCACAATTTGTCCTCCTCACATGGAGGAGAGCTGAAGATTTTAATAAGAAATATTAAGTACAGAAAAGAGAAGGCAGAAGACTTGCCTTTCTGGGATCTCAATATCAATATAAATATTAAGTAGCTGCCCTCCTAAGACATAGCCAATAGCAGGACCCAGCAGTGACATGGCATAACCAATTCCTAGAAGAGAAAATATATCAAGTTCACAATACTTTTAAACTATTTCCTATATCAATTTCAGACCAAATGGTTTCTGTAATTCAATCTGTTCTTTCACTGTCATAATTTTGATTACAGCATGTAGAATACAAAATTTGTACTTGTTCCTCAAAAAGAAAACTTGCAGCTCTCATTAAAAGCTGCAAGTCAAAGGTTCAGCAAAAGACACCTCACTGACAGCATCTTTATGCATTATTAGATTGCTTTTTGCATATCTTGTGCCTACAATCACAAGCTAGCTTGTGAAAAAGTTTCTGAAGTGAGGTTGCTACAAGCATCATTGTCCATCTTAAGAACCTACAAATTTATATTTTTATTTTGAGTCTTAACTTGGTTTTTAGATCTGCCAAGGTTCCATTAAAACTTTTGACTGGTATAATATCTGTCACTTGACTTCACCGAGAACTCAATCATATGCACTTCCATTTATTCATAAAAGCCTTAAAATACAAAGCCAGGGCTCTTAACAGCTCCTGACAGTTCTTCACAAAACACATGCTCACCACCCCCCCCTTCAAGCCCACCAAAAAACACACACCAAACAAAAACAAAATAAAAAAATACCAACACAAACTTCAACAGTAACTCAGAATTATAGAGTTGACATATCCTAGGTTTCCCTTTATTTTGGAAATAATGACATGTGCGTAGGACCTTTCCAAGTTAAGTCCACATTCATCCTACAGAACTTCAAACCTAGCTTTGAAAGTGCCTATTTCCTCCTACAGACCATTCAGCTTAAAGTACCATTTGGAATTGCTTAACTTTCATTGGCTTTAGATGTAGATGCCTCAGTTCAGCAAGAGGAGAACAGGCCTCATGAAAACACACCCTGTCTGAGAAGAGAAACTACCAGCTTGATTTGCAAGCTTATAGTCTAAGATGCTAGCAGCTATTTACAGACACTAGCAAAACTTTTAGAGGTTTTCTGCTGTCTTGCACAAGCCTTCTTGAATTAGGCAAAGCAATACAACATATTTTAAATCCCTAATACATTGCATAAAAGCAAGAAAAATAATTAAGGCTTAATGTAGCTACCTGTCCATTCACTTACCCTCTAGTTTTGTTTTATTAGGCAGAATATATTGTTCTTCTGAACTCAGCAATTGTCTAAAGACTACACAAGCATCAGTTTATTGTATTGGTCTGTTACGCTTATGTATGAACACTAACACTATTCTACGTTTTCAGGCCACCTCTTGATCCACTAATCACGCGGACACTCCTAGTTCTGTTCTGTTTATCTCACTGATCTCAGAAAAAAGTGTATCTTCTCTCTCAGTATAAAGAAACAACAAAAATAAAAGCTATCTTTGTTATTTAAGATTTAACATATGCAACTACTGCATTTGTTGGCATCAAATGAAGTAGCTTGCCTGGAACAGTTAAGCAAGAATTGTATGCAAATAGATGATTATTTCAATTTTCAAATACTGATTGTCTGGAAAGCAGTCCAGGAATCTGGGATGCTTTGAATTTCTCCTGCAAGTTACCATTATAGCTAACATACTTTTATCAGCTTAAACCTAAAATTGGGGAAATAGCAAATATCTTCATACCCCCAGAAAACACACTTAGACTGCAATGAACTTGGCAGTAAAAATGCACATAACCCAGAGAACGCTCACTGGAAAAACTAAAAGCCATCACTAAGAATTAGTATTCTGTAGCTTTCAAACAGCTCCAGAGCAAGACAAACTCATTCTCCACGCTTCTAGGCAATCCCTTTACTTTCAATTAAAGAAAGATACTTCCAGTATTTCATCCTGAAGTACCACATGTGTATGTGGCTAAAGAACCAAAGTGATCACATTATGCACAGGAGTGTCCCTGCACTGAGGTGATAGGCTACTGATAGAAGGTAAATAAACAAGACTGTTAAAGGATACAGTAAGGTGTGGCTACTGACCTTATACACAGTAGTTTTCAAGTTTTTGCTACAACTTATTCTGTTATTAACAGGCAGGCTACAATACCCCTTCATCACTTTCAGTTACTGACATGAAAAAACAGCATGAGTGTAAGCAGAAATTAGCCTTATCATGCTCTGCAAAATAACTATTGAAAAGACTTGACACAGCAGACAAATACCCAACTTGCACAGTAACTGATACAGAAACACTTTATGCACATAAGCAAATAATGATGATTGATTTAATCAGAGGAATTAATAAAAAGCATTTTTAAGGCACTACAGTCTATGATCTATCCGTATGGTTTTAAAAGTTACCTATATAAATGGAAGACTTGTGTTTTGGGACACTATCATCAATAAAAGCTGTCCCCAGAGTATATAGAGGAGTTCCTCCAACTCCCAGTAGCAGCTGTCCCAGGATAAAGACATACAGATAGTTGGGAAGTGAAGACTTTGAGGTGGCATTGCAAGTGAAGTTAGCAGAGCTTGTTCCTGGAATTTGACACGTGTCTGAAAGACAGAGACAGCAATTCTGTTACCCAGCTCATCACAGTGCAACTGAAGAAAAAACTGTACTGAAAGCTAAACTATATACAAAGTGCTGCTAGTGCCAGGCTCCCATTTTAATTTTCAGGTCTACTAATATATCTTATACAACAGTGGTCTAACCTTCTACATTGTCATATTCTCCAAAAGAAATACTATCATCGCTTGGTTTTTGTTTCCTTACCAGGAAGGAAAGATGGATGAAATAGCCTTATTGAAACATTTTGGCTTGTTGAAAGCATTATTGACCAGATGTATGCAAAAAACTGACAAATAGTCATTCAACAGGTTAATGACTACTCCTAGGCAACAGACATATCATTTTGTTCTTGCACCTGATAATGATTCTGAGGAGCACTAGCAACAACTTTCATTCTTAACTGACAGAGAATCCTGAATAACCTGAGGAAAGCTGGACTGCTGGAAAGGAAAGTGCAGTTGTCAGTCACAAGAAAGGTAATTCTCCTTTCTCAAATACTGTTTTGAGAAGCATTTCCTTAAAAAAAAAAAAAAAAGTAACACAAAAAACGCAACACACAAAACCTTGAAAAACCACACCACTATCTCTCAGAGCACACACTGACATATCTCCAGGATGAGAAGTTCATGTAAAGCCTCTGTACTTGTCTACACACATTCACAATGAGGAAAGCAGAGGTAGAACTGCCTAAGGCTGTGCCTGCTCCCGTAAAGTTTGGCACCAGGAGGAGGGAAGAGAACAGAGGAAGTGAAGACAAGGAGCATGTTTTCTCTTCTCCTCCCTCTTGCTATCATGCACTTCTAGTAGCAGACAGGCCCAAGTGACAAGATCAAAAATAGGAACATGGTTCTTTCCATGTTTTTCCACAGAAGAACATACAATCCTAGTGAAGAGGATAAAACCACCAGTTTGGTGGAAACAAGCCATACTTAGAAAATACAAGAAAACACCCTTCACATTAGATGAGTAAACTCATTAATTCTCAATTCTTCACTGCAAAATTATTGCATCATTTTTCTCATGTCCTTTTACATTTAAGAACACTTTTTACTTGAGCAAACAAAGAGAATGTTTGTCCTTGCTTTGGGCGGCTCACAGGACACAAAAACCAAGGAAGTACTTGCCACACAGCAGATATTTAAAGATAAAGGCAATGTTATCATAAATGCATCCATGGGTTTTATCATGCCTTTTTTCAGAAGGAACAGCACCATAGTGGTGGTAGAGGCATGTAGTCACACAACAGGTGATTCAGTGCTGTTGCACAGAAACTGGCCAATATAGAGTGATGGGAAAACTTCACTTCAAGAGGAGGACTCATTAAAATTTTCCTTACTTTAGGAACAATCCTTATTTTAATGCTATACCGAAGCTGCACATGGAACATTTTATTATGAAGCACTACTCTGAAAATTGAAGTTTTTAGAGTATATTTTCCATTTATTGTCAATCTGCTTTCTTTAGCAATATTCATTTTTTCTGCAGGAAACTACATCTCAAATCAGGTTAACTTTGTACTATTTACCTATAGAAGGACACCAGGTCCTACAGTATCTTGTTAACATAGACATGTACAGGACATATATAGAATATAGCTGCAGTTATAAGTTAGCCTCTAATACCTACTGGGCAAGTCTAAAACAGCATTTAGCTAGTTATTTTATTGTAGTACACAAATAATAGTATCTTGTTGAAATCAGAAAACAAGTAATGCCGAGCAAGAAAGTGCCATGAATTATGTTAAATGTGAAAAATGTAGCCTAATTTGAGATCTAGAAATAGCTTAATGAAATAAGCAGATCACATATGGTAATGATAATCAAACTCTGACACACTGTGGTTCTTCATGAATCCCCATCCCCACCCCCAATGTCTCAGTTCAAGTCAATCTCTAAAAGCCTGTGCCATTGTGTAACTAATTGATTATACCCCCTCTCCTTCAGTTTTCTAGCTCTTCAATTTACATGCCTTAGAAAAATTATTCAGACATGGAGATGAGATAAGGTTATCACCCTAGTTTGTTTTCAGAATCATGTAATAAGGTCTAACTACTAGTTACAAGAACCATCAATACGCACTTTAATACAATTATAATAATTTCATTTGCGTCAGCAATCAGATTTTTTTTTTAAGTCAAAAAGTACACATGGACCATATTTCATGCTTCCAAGAAATATTTTAAAAGCAAAGACAACTTACAACAAAACTATGGTATTAGTTTGAACCGACATAAGTCAAAACTGCCATCAAATAAAAGTTTACTTTCTCTACCTCAGTCATTCATGTCATCCCTATCTTGTACAACCAAGGCTGAAGCATATTGGTAAAGTGACACAGGTAAATTCTAACCTGGATTAGATACACAAGCTTATTGCTGTGGTCATAAGAATGGTGGAGAGAGCAGGCACTGACTTTTACATGGTCAGGAAAGTCTAACTGAGAAACTAAGCTCTGGGAGAAGTTTAAGATGCATGGTTGACCATTTTTAATTACCTTTTCTCATTAAACTTGTTTTCCCCTCTAAAAGTCAGTGGATTAGACTTGCATTTTAAAGATTGTATTTCACAGAATCACAGAATAGGGGTTGGAAGGGACCTCAGGAGATCATCTAGTCGAACCCCCCTGACAAAGCAGACTCCCTACACCAGGTTGCACAGGAAAGCATCCAGGCAGGTTTTGAACATCTCTAGAGATGGAGACTCCACAACCTCCCTGGGCAGCTTATTCCAGTGCTCTGTCACCCTCACAGTAAATAAATTTTTCTTTAAGTTTGTCTGGAACTTCTGGTGTTCCAGTTTTTGCCCATTGCCCCTTGTCCTGTCACCAGCCACCATCAAAAAGAGCCCAGCCCCATCCATTTGGCCCCCACATTTCAGATATTTATAGACATTGATAAGGCCCCCTCTCAATCTTCTCTTCTCCAGGCTGAAGAGTCCCAGCTCTCTCAGCCTGTCCTCGTAAGGCAGATGCTTAATATCTGCATTAAAGGCAACACTATCCAACAGAGTTAGTCATAAACCTTCCTGCATGCTTTAATCTAACACATCTACCTTAATCCAAGTTATATAAAGGCCAAAATATTCACAAATACCTAATGCAACATACTAGCCATGAAGGCAGAACCAACTGTGATATGCTTCAGCAATTACATTAATTAGAAGTAAGACAGCTCAAGAAGAGTTTTACTCACATTTTAAACTGCAGCCAGTAGCTGTGGGGTTTTTTGGCTTTTGGGGTAAGGAATAGTTTAAACAGAGTTGTGAGGAGTGAGAAATTAATAACAGCTTGGTTTCCATTCCTTTTTAAACTTAAAAATCTGTCTCCTTCTTCAGTCTTGAATGGGAAAGTCACCCAAAGCTTCAATGAACATGCTGAATGAAGACTAACTTCCTAGTTTCTAAAGGCAGACGTTGCAGTATGACAGAACCTAAGTGGTATACAGAAATAGACGAAGCAGTGTAGACAACAGCAGCCCTATCCATATTTCAACTAATCAGAAAGTCTCTTCAAAGAGCAAAACCAACAGCAAAATCACAGACATACTAATGTTGCAAGAACAAAACAGTCAGATTAGAGGCTGGCACTGTCCTTGGCATGTTCTGGCAAGGAAGATCAATTAATGCCCTTCTGAGAAGTTTCACTCTCTCAGACTCTAATTATGCACCATCTGAGTTTCCAGTAGAACAGAGAACTGAAAAAAGGTATTCAAGTCATCCTCCATCTTCTCAAATCACACCATGCACATTTCAACTTAAATGGCTAAAACTTGTTATTAGGAATGTTTTTTTTTTCAAAGACATCATCCACATCAAGTTACTGGACAGATTTATGGAATAATTCAGGTTGGCAGAGGCATCAGGGAAGGACGTTGGCACGTAGTCCAATGTCCTAATCCAAACAGTGTCAAAACTACATGCAGAACAAGTGCTAAGGACTTTACTCAGTAGGGTCTTGAAACCCCTCAGAGATACAGACTACACAGTCTTTCTTGGTAATGTTTGACTGTCCTCACAATAAAGTTATCTTCCTGGTGTCAAGTGAAGATCTACATTTCACATTTGCTGTGACAGACATCTTTTACAAACTTAAACATGTTTCAATAAGATCTGAGACAGAAGTTTAAAAGCGCACTAGGTACAGCACCTTCAGTTTTTACAGTCCTCTGTACTGTCTACGGCTAATACAGAATGGTTTCGTTACAGACGAACCACTAGATGGACTCCTGACTACAAGTATCAGAGCCATCTGAGACACTTAAGTCCATACGTAACTTTAAAAAATTACCAGGAAAAATAGCTGGTTACATCTAAGTTACAAATTTGAGTCTGGAACCCTTCTGGAGATTAGGCAAGACATGTTTTCTGTGAGTAAAAATTTTTGTAAATAGGCAGACCATTAGTTAGCTACTCTTTCAATACTAAATGGATTAAATAATTTCTAAAGAGTGCTATTATGATAAATATTTCAAATGAAATAGTTTTGTAAAGTAGGCTACATATATAATCAGCATACAAGTAAACTTATATCTCAAGGTAAAACAGCAAGTTCCAGGAAGTCTGGGAGCCTTATACTGGAGGCTAGGTGTATTTTGTATTCCAGAATAGATCTATTAATTAAACTGGCAGCGATATTAAGTATTGCACTGAACTATACTTTGAAGTTTTCCTCTAGGTAAAACTCATTGTACTTACATATAATAGATGAACATAAATAATCAAGTAACCAATCAGGAACTGTTCAAAAATAAATTATTAGGTGGTGGATTTTAATACAAAGCATGAAATAAAAGAGTTTACTCCCAGTACATTAAAAACTAAACTACTCATCCATACAAATAAGCAAAAAGGAAGACTTTTTGGTGCGTGGTGCTATTAATTCTGCAACTAAATATACAGTTAAGATGCTTCACCAATACCAGAAATAGCTAAACCAGACATCCTATAAAATAATGTACTGTGGTTAACTTAACCATCAAAGGATGCCATTGCACAGCATCTGCATATTTACATGAAGTCTTTCATAGTGCAGACACTCCCTGCACTCTGTAGTCACTTACCTTTGATAGTGTTTTGTTTAAGTTGGATTAAGTCTTTAGATCTGCTCACCACAGTTGCAGTATAGCTACCTGTATTACAGCAGTCAAAATAGCATTAATTCAGTCAGCTTACAGTGCCATGGAAACTAAAGCACACATTCAATTTAAAATTTTCCCTACAGCTATTAGGCTTCAAAAGTCCATGTAGAACATGAGCCCTAATAAGATATCAACGCCTACAGCATCTTTAATATCAGATGAAGTGGCAAATGTTTTGAAGAAACAGGAACAGATTCTTTGAGATTTCAACCAAAATTGGTAGGAGCAGGAAGAGATCAGTTGCAATAGTTGGCCATCTCCCTTCACACTCCCACCCTGTCAGCACCTTGTTTCAATTTTAAAAAACTACAATCAGAGTGGATCATTCTTTGTATTAAATTCAGCTTCCCTTCCATACTAGTGAAGGTAATACTGAAACTGAAATTGTAAACAAATGGGACTGTAATAGAGCTAGGAGCAAGTAAATTGTTGCTCCTCTACTAGGGGGTAACAAGTAATCATCCGCTCATAGCCTCTAAGCACTGACGAGCTTTTTTCTTTTGGACTTGCTCAGTTAAAAGTTCCATTAACTTCTGCCTTAGATCCTCATTCATTAGATGGGGAACAATAGTTTATCAAAGTTATTTAACTAATGGTCAATGTCTCAACAGCTCATGGAAGTGTGTGACATGATTAACACTTTAAAAAACATAATTTGAGAATCAGCAACCAGAAGACTGAGAACCTTCCATTAGATTGCTTAATAGCTACTGATTTTTTTAGTGAACACTAATATGCTTAGTCACTGAAGGCATAAATCTGGCTAAACACTGCAATAACAATTAAAACAATACTACAAGATTAATTCATCCTGCTTTAAAGATATTCGGATGTTTCTTTATTAGTTACAGGTGTGCCACTAAGTTAAGATGCAAATAGTTGTTATTAAGCACACTGCACTTAAAGTCTTCTTTTATCAGGAAAGATACACAAGATCTCGGAGAGCTGGCTACTCATATGATTTCAGTATTGCTTTGTTCAGTATAGCTCCGGGCTGCTCATTCCCTCTTTATTTCAAAGAAACCCACAAGTTTTATTCAACATTTTAGAAGACCTCAGTAAAAGTTGTTAATTATTGAAAATGTCTTAGTTCAAAATCCAAAAGAACTGCAACATGTAGTCACCTTCCAACAAGAAGACAGTGAGTCTAACAGCTTTCCTTTAACATTTATTCTACACTGCTGACCTAACTTGCATTCCTATTCACAAAGAAATGACAGATCACCATTCACTCAAAATGATTTTTAATTGCATTCATCAATGCAAGTCAAAAAGGCACTCATATTCCTTATGAGCAAGAACTAATATGGACACAGATCTCTTCTCAAAAAGAAAGTTCACTGTTCAGAGAGACAGGTCTTGAACTTAAGGATTTCACAGAATCATTTTATTTCCAGTGTTAGAGATAATACCCCATTTTTAGGATTTCGACAAAGATTAACTATGTTGTTCCAATTAAGAGTTGCATCAAGTTGCTACAGATTTTTTTTTTAATTATTTTCAAAACATAGGGATAAGCTTACCTTCAAGTTTAGCTCCATAGTGGTATTTTCCACTACTGAAGTGTGGTAAGGAGAATACAAGTGAGCCCAACCCTAGCATAAATGCTGAGAAAGCAAGACATCGTGGTTTATGGCCTCTTTCTCCAAAGAAAGATACAAACAGTGACAATACGCAAAATGCAATGTCATAGCTTGCAGAGATTACACCAGTGAGGGAACTGCTCAACTCATAACGCTTCTCAATTGTTGAAATACTAATGTTAATCAGTCCATTTACCACAATGCCTACAAAAAAAAAAAAAAAGGAGATAATTAGTCAAAGATACTTTAATTTGATAGAGTTGCACTGTGTGATGGAAGGGTTAAAATTAATATATTTACAAAGCTATATTTTAAGGTATTATTAGCTTTAAAAGGTATATAGTGGATTGATACAATGCTAACTTAAGCCAGCCAAACTGCACAAGACCTATTCAATTTTGTTCTCTCTTGTAGTCATTAAAGATTCAACACTCAAGTATTAAGCCAACAAAATACCATGCCTCAAATTCTGTTCATGTACGAACATTCTGTTTGTATGTGAAACACCAATTAGTTAAACTTACAGGAGTTTACTTTTAACAGTCCCAAAACAGGATTCTGTTACAAGTGAGATGAATAGCTGTACTTCATAATAGTGTCAGATAGTTTCATGGTAGCCTAATTAAACTGTGCCTGTAATACTATGCATAACCTGGGAAAATGAAGTCTTGGAGTCACTCTTGCAAGTAAGATCAAAAGTTCTGCAACCTCATAGACAACTGACGAGCATCTCTCATGATACATGCCCTACAGTTATCCTTCCTCTTCCTAGAATTCATACAAGGTTCTCTTCTGTCATTCCAATAACAGAACAAAAGGACAGACAGCTGGGGATTTAAGCTCGTTTTCAACAAGCATTGTACCATCCATAAGTGCAACAGCACAGGCTGAACTTCAACAGATATGCCTAGAGTGCTCTACATATTAAAATAAAATAACTCCAAATCTGTGATCAACCAGCTGTTTTCTTATCAGTGCAATCCCCACCATAAACTAAACACTTCAGCTTTCTATAAAGAGGCAGCTCTTGGCACAGTCTTATTTTTTCATACACTACTATGTTCTCTTTATTAAGGATGACAATTTCAACTGTCAGTCTGACCACCACACTTAAATTCATACAGGATTAACAGAAGTATTCAGGTGTTACTCCACTGCCACTATTTACATATTTGGCGGCTTTCTTCTTTTCTTATTAAGGACCATTGACCAAAGAACAATACTAGCACAAAGGAATGAACAAACAGGATTTATCCCATTTGCCAGCACTTCAAGCATTTACTAAGCCCTTAAAACATTCACATGTAGTAGGTGTGCTATGTGGCAAGTTGATTACAGAACCAGAAAACATTCTTTTACCTGTAGTTTAAGTTGCCACATTTCATTTACTTCCTAAAAGCCAAAAAACTTTGTAGTTAGTTATATTGGATAATTGCATTTAATTTGTAAAAATTTAGATGTGATGACTAGCAGCATAACTTCTCCAATGCCATCATCTAGGGATTAATCACTAAAGTCTCTCCAGGAAAGATGGAACCTGGCTGACACTAATTTGACCTGAAAGACAAATCCTACAAAGACATCTCAACATTTAGATACTAGTATAGAAATTATTTTTTAACTATTCTAATCTAAAACCTTGTTGTCCCACCACATCTGTTAGAAGTTTAGGTACAGTGTGTACTGACCCACAAAATCCAGATTAATCATAAACTAACTTAAATTGCCTTAACAAAAACTAAAGTATTTTTTCTTCATCCATTTAATAAAAAACCATTGTTCTCAGTATGGTGGCTTTGAAACAGTGGTTTGCTGACACCTAATTAAAAAAGAAAATTAAAAGTCCTTCCAGTAACAAATCTGTAAAATATTAGTGTTACCCAGAGTTTTCCAACAGATTAGACCGGAACCATCTCAAACAGTGGTTCTGTTGTTTTGTTTAATTAAATTATTACATGAGGAATAAACAGTCCTTCTTGTTTACACTCAATATCGAGAGATAACTTCTACCTTTTTTGCTACTACAGCTATTAATTGCAGCATATGCAGTTATTGTGTTACAAGATGCAATCATACATTTATGCAACTCTAAGTGCCATACAGAAAGTATGTATTAGTCATGTAACCATGTTCTAGACAAATAAGTGTTTTCTACTCTGGAAATACAGGTTTCACCTATACTTGAAACAGAAACTGACAGAAATGAAGAGCTAAATTTCACCTGGAATCTTCTGAGAAGCTGAAATACAGCAAATCAGGTACTAATGATAACAATAACCTCTTTTCTAAGGCAGATAGAAAAATAACCTAATAAATACATGCCTTCAGTTAGACACACACATACAGAAATATACACACATGTACCAGGTTACGGCAGATAACTATGTACTATGTTCGCTCATAGTATAAAAAGTCTAATATAACAACTTATATACATTAAAAGTGTGTTAAGGATTACTTAATTATTTTTCAGTGCAATAAACCTTCCTAGAAGTACATTAGCAAGTTTTATAGATATTTTCTCTTCCCCAATGATTGTTTCTGTAATTTGGAGGGTAAATTAAATAATTAGATCCAAAGCTAGAGTACAGTAGTAGCTCACATAACATCAAAATCCCAGTTGTGTTTTGTGCAATTTTATCTAAAGTCTGAAGCTGCAAGACCTGAATATTTTTGCAGTCTCACATGCAGCACTTCTTGTCTGAAAATGATTCTTGTTTTTTCTGCTTCTCAAAAGGACTTGTAACTTGAGTCTTCAGTGCCCAGAAAATACAGATTATCATTAAGAATGCCACAAGGTCTATAATAGCCATGCCTACATCAGCTTTCAAAACAAGCATCAGAAGTTTCCTTATATTATGTCCTAAATCCGAAACTAGAATAGACAGGTATCTCTCGAAGTCTGGCATACATGGTTGGATAACAGGACCAAGATCTGGATAAGTGGCATAACCAAAACTCATAGCAACCTAAGGGGACAGAGAATCTCATGATACAAGACCTTTTAATGATTGGGAACCAACCTACCCACACTTCTCATAAGAGATAACATTTAACTGATATCAAATTCATTATTCAGTTGTGCAGACCATCAGATCAGCACAGGAAACTGGATTTTAAGAAATCTAGTTTTGAAATTTAGAAGTGCTGGAAATAGTCAAGACACTTTGCCTAGTATAATCTGAAACTTCTGAGCATCACATTCAGGGCATTTTTGCTTGCCTATCTGTATTCTTAAGCTACAACAATAACACATGCATGATCTAGAAGTCCTCTGTGACTCAGTTGCCATTTTAATCTGTTATGCAAAAAGTTCTTCCATCCCTCCCTTTCTTTTTACTACGTTAGAGAAAACATATTTGATCTAACAGCAGAACAACTGCAACAGTAATCACCGTCTGGTCATACCAGATGTAGCATGGCCTTTCACACACAAGTAAGGAATTACAGGCTCTGTCCAAAACTCTGCAGATACTTCTTTTCTAACACAACATGTGTCTGCTAAGAAAAGATCAGATTGTAAAGTGGTTGAAATCAGAAAGAGTTATGGAAACACACAGTGAGAGACACTGGTTATTCTAAGGATTTTTCCAAGCGACACAAGTAGAAGTCAGATCTTCCTAGGTTTTAAGCAGAACCTCCAGCTCAGCTCGCCTCAGACCATCCCAGTCACCTAAGTGTAGTTCCAGACAGGAATGCAGCCATCCCACATCTTCAGCATGGGCTGCCTGCTATTCTGTCCCTGAGACTTTTCTACACCTCCTTCCACCCCTCTACAGCAGTTTCATTCCTTATAAGCAACAAGGATGAGCTTTAAAGCCTCATAACTTCTCAGAAAACACGGTTTTCTTTCCTAGCTAGTCCAATAAAATTGAAGGGTTCTGAACATTAATTCAATAGCTCCATTTGACAGACAAATACCTAAGCTTTACAAACCTCAAGTTTGTACATTTGGTGCACTGCTGCTTCCCCTCCCACTCAGCCATTATTACTACTGTCTAAGTTTAAGGCTTGCCAAGGCCCTAACAAATCTTGTCACAGAATAAACAAAAATATGAACACGAGTATCTGAAGCTGTAAAACAGAAATTAAGAGCAAGCTAAACTTCGGGTTCCCTCCTAAGTTAAGTTAAGCCGTTAGTTAAGTATTAGAAACTAACTGCTGCACTGGGATCCACAGACAAAACTGAATTTTTAAAAATCCATTTTGATTACCTTAAGTCCCACCCAACCATGCCAAGGTACTTTTTTAATTGGCAGGCAGGTAACAAAGTACATGTTAGGGCACTACAGTTTTGTCTATTGGTTTATATCATGTGTTTCACTCCCTGTCTCATACACCTCAATTTGTCAGGCACACATAGAGCACTACTTCCCTGTGAACAATGGGGACACTGTACAGACAAGAGCATGAACTACAGAGCTGGTGGGACCCTGAGCTCAGCAGTAATCAAAAAGGCAAGCAGGAAAAGAAGAAAAGGAGGAACACAGTGAAGTACCACAAGTAATACCATATAATCAACCTCCCTATACAAAGCAGTAGGGTAACTTCTTCACTTTGCAAATCCACTACTGGCATTGGATCCATGCAGCTGGAAGAACCTTGCCTCCCCTCATCTGCTACCCAATTCACGACCGCTCCTCCCTTGGCTTCCCCAGCCCACGCTCCCACCTGGCTTCCCCCCCTGTCTATCCAGAATGGAGAGCAAGCTGTGCGCAGCAGAAGGCCTGCGGAAGCCAGGTCCCACAGGGAAAGTGGAGAGCAGGGCAGAAGGCCTGCAGCTTAGGGCAAGGTGGTGGGGACAGGTTACCTTGGAAGACAGCCAGGAGGCTGTAGGCAGCCAGGTAGCCCTCAGGGTTGTTGCAGAGCTGCAGAGCCTTAGGGGTACAGCGACCCCAACCGCAAGGTCCCTCCTCAGTCTCAGCAGGGACGCCGGCACCTGCCCCGGCAGGGCCCACCTGGTGCTGACGGCCAAGGTCGGGGCTGGGTGGCTCAAACCCCGGGTTCTCGATCCCGCCACCCTTCATGGCGCTGAGAGGCCCCTGTCCGGCCCCGACTGCAAGCAACACCTGGCCACAACGCTCCTCTAAATGCTGCGAGGGCGGGGCAGTCCCGACGGGCCAGGTGGCGGCGCTTCCTGCCTCCTCCCGAGGAGGGCGGCCTGGCCCCGCCCCACCCCGCTGCGGGGTC